CCCCCCCCCCCAAATCATGGGATTTGTACTCGGACACTTGTGAGGTGGGGACTCTGGCTTGGATGCTCCCTCACTGCAGTTCCCTATCCAGAGGGGAGCCTTCCAAATTTCTAAATGGAGAGCTTTGCTCTCGGAGGAGTAAAATTGGTGTGCCAAACTGCTCCTGCCTTTGTTCTGTTCTGTTCTTTTCTGTTCTTTTCTTTTCTTAGCATTCTGACACAGGCTCCGGTTGTTACTTGAATTGTGATTTGGCGATCTTGGGTTCTGCTCCGTTTAGGGTCCATTAGTACCCTAATCCTTTTGGGCTCTTGACCTGAAAATGTGAAAGGTTTTTTTTTTTCCCCCATTGCTGTTCTTCACTTGGATGTTTTCAAAACTACCGTTGTTACTTAAACGAATTGATTTAGCATTCCGAGGCAAAGTCTTCTTACGCTCTGACACTGCTGCTGTTTTTATTTTCCAGATGCGGGTACCAATTGGCACTGTGGGATTTTTTTTTAAATTGTGTTTATGATTATGTTGTCATAGTTGTTCCTCACCTATCCTGCTAACAAGACCTGAATCTCAGAGTCAACAGGAGGGCACAATTGTCGCACACAAGCACACTATGCCTCCCCCCCCCGCTATCTTTTATGTGCCTCGATCTGACACACCTGAGGGGTTTAATTTCAGCAGGGACACAGAGGGAAAATTTTATACTCTGGATGGATGTTTGTTTTAAAAAATTAATAAATTTTTCTAAATCTATGTGGCTGCCACAGTGTGTTCTGTCGATGGGGAAAGGCAGCACAATGACCACTTGTTAGGTTTGTAAGTCTTTCCGAACTTGATGCCTTCCAGATCTGGGATCCCAATTCCACCATGCTCAGCTGGCAGGTTCATTGTATTTGTAGTCTGATACTTTTAGGAGGATTTAGGAAAAAAAACTTCCGAGAAAGGATAGCAGAATGCGAATGTGTTCTAAGCCTGGGGAAATTATTATATTGCAAACCCACAAATGCAAGAAACAACTTCAGAAGTAGGTGTATATTTTGGAACAGGAACTCATGTATAGAATAAAAGAGTTGGAAGGGACCTTGGAGGTCACCTACTCCAACCCTCTGCTCAGGCAGGAGGCCGTATAGCATTTCTGACAAATGGTTGCCCAATTTCTTCTTAAAAGCCGTTCCACTGGTTAATTGTTCTAACTGTCAGAAAATTTCTCCTTAGTTCTAGGTTGCTTCTCTCCTTGATTAGCTTCCATCCGTTGTTTCTTGTCCTGCCTTCAGGCGCTTTGGAAAATAGGTAGACTCCCTTTTCTTTGTGGCAGTCCCTGAGATATTGGAACACTGCTGTCATGTCACCCCTAGTCCTTCCTTTCACTAGACTAGACAAACCCAATTTGCAAGAAAACGTGGCTGGTCAATCTTCCAACACTTTGCAAGGCTTCAAATTTTTGCATCTTCTTGCAAGCCCATTTTGGTTCCTGTGGTCCAAGGAACCAGAATATCACCATTTAGCTTTTAGGAGTGCAACCTTTCCCGTCCAGATGCTTTCCCAGCATGTTAGGATAGCTAGTTCTAAAGATCAGGTTGGTTGAGAGTGATGGGAGTTGTAGTCCTCCTAGAGAAGACCAGGATGAGGATGGCTTGCCTCCACTAAGGACCAGGCGGAGAGTGACGGCTTTACCCCGAGAATAGGGTGCACTAGATAGATTTTTCCCCTTTCCCAAAGGGGGGGGGGCTTAGAAACCATCATTTTCTGGGGTGCAGTGAAAATAGTGTGGAAGGAGCCCGTGAAAGTCCCATGCTGCACGTGTGGTTGCAAATCTGGGAGCTGCTGCAATCAAATTGATGGGAGAGAAATTATTCCCTAAAGAAAAGCATATTTAGCCTGGATACTCCTCCTAAGGGCTGCCTGGAGGAGCCTAGAAACCGTCTAATTGGGTTTCCATGGGAACCGTTGGGGGGCGGGGCCGGAAAGGTGATCAACCCACCTCTCTATGGTTTCCGCGGGCGCCTCTAGACCAGAAACTCAGTGGCGGCCGCGCTGCATCTCGGGATAGCCACCTGACCTTGCGCCCGCTCTTCACCGCTGACCTTGTTTCTTCAGCCCCGCCCTCTTTCCGAGGCGAAGCTCCGAGTGGCGCCCCAAATTCCCCTCCGTGTGTGAAGCGACCAATGAAAACGCAGCCCAGGGGCCTCCAGGCAGGAAACGGCGCGACCAATCCTCGGAGCGGAGCCAGATTTATTCCACCCCCCTGCCCAATCGAGGCAGCCTGGCGGCGCGTGACGTCCAAACGGGCAGCCAATAGGAAGCCCGCGTCGGGGGAAAAGGAAAGCGGTGGGACATCGGCGAGGCCTAAACTCCATGAGGGCTGCATGGTCCCGGGGAAGGGGCGCGGCTGGACGGGAGGCCAGCCAATCGCGTCGATTCCAGGCTGGGCAGGGGCGGGGCTGGGAGCCTCGCGGGCCAATGGCGGCGCCCGGGGGGCGGGGCCTGAGAGCAAGCGTGTTCGGGTGTCTCCCGGCTCCAGCCCTCGTTGCCGCTGCTCCCGCCGCCGCCGCGTGAGTGGGGAAGCACCGGGAGGGAGGCCCGGGCGGGCGAGCCTGCGGGGAGGGCCCGGCCCGGGAAGGGAGGGCAGAGGACCGGAGAAGGCCGGGCAGCGGGCCGAGGAGCCCGCAGGACCGGGCGGCGGAAGCCAAAATGGGCCCCGGGGCGGGAAGGGAGCAGGAAGCGCCCCGGGCAGCCGGGAGGAGCCGACCGAGCCGGGCGGGAAAGCCTCGGTTCCTCCTGCTGAGCCCGCCCCGCAGCCGGGGGGGGTCAGCAGCTGGCGGCCTCTGCGCAGAATCCGGCCAGGAAATCAGCTCTTCTCCGTTTGGCCCACCGAGCCTGGGCATCGCCTCCCTCCGCCCGGTCCGCGGAGCCCTTCGCCCGCCCGGGCGGAGGCTCCTCTTCCCCGCCGCCCCTTGCGCAACCCGTGGGAGCGGAGCAGGAAATCTGCTTTAAAAAAAAAAAAAAAAAGCTTTTGGAGGAATAGAATAGAATATAGAACCTTCCTTCGGCCCAGGGCGAGGATGAGGCCCACAAGGAGTTGGGTCTCCGGGGCAGAAGCCCCCAATATGCATGCAAAAGAAAGGAGGGAATCGTCAATCAGGATAGAGCTGGAAGGGACCTCGGAGGTCTTCTAGTCCAGCCCCCTGCTCAGTCAGCAGACCCTAGACCATTTCAGTCAATCAGGATAGAGCTGGAGGGGACCTCGGAGGTCTTCTAGTCCAGCCCCCTGCTCAGGCAGGACACCCTACCTAGACCATTTCAATCAATCAATCAGAATAGAGCTGGAAGGGACCTCGGAGGTCTTCTAGTCCAGCCCCCTGCTCAGGCAGGACACTTTACCTAGACCATTTCAATCAATCAGAATAGAGCTGGAAGGGACCTCGGAGGTCTTCTAGTCCAGCCCCCTGCTCAGGCAGGACACCCTAGACCAATGATGGCGAACCTTTTAGAGACCAAGTGTCCAAACCGCAACCCAAAACCCACTTATTTATCGCAAAGTGCCAGGGCCGCATCAGCATTGTGGTGCCCTCATTGGGGGGGGGGCAGGGAGGCGCCTCTGAGCGCCGCCTCTGGCATGCATGCGTCCCGCAAAGATGGGCCACCGTGCTGCAAGGTGCAAAAACGGCCGCGCCGCAGGGTACAGATACAAGGCGCTGCACCACGCAAGAACGGGGCAGGGCTAGTGAGTATCACGCAGGCACTAGCCCTGTCCCATTTGCAGCACGTGTGTACTCGAGGCTCCATGCACGCATGCATGCATGCATGTAAAATGCTTCCTCCTCCCTTTTCTTCCAGTCCACCAATTGACAATGGTTGGTGACCTCTGCTCTACCACCTCTACTCGAGCTTGCTAGTCTGCCGCTTCGCCTCCTTTGTGCTGGGCGGGGCTCCTGCTTTGGGCAGCAGTGGTGGCCTGATGCACCTGCTGCTGGTGAGGGTGGCGCGTGTGCCAACAGAGAAGGCTCTGAGTGCCGCCTCTGGCACGCGTGCCATAGGTTCGCCACCACTGCCCTAGACCCTTTCAGCCAATCAGAATAGAGCTGGAAGGGACCTCGGAGATCTTCTAGTCCAGCCCCCTGCTCAGGCAGGGCCTAGATCATTTCAGACAAGTGCTTGATCAATCTCTTCTTAAAAACCTCCAGTGATGGAGCAACTAACTTATCATGTTATGAGTTTGAGATCCTTCATGCCAGACATACTATTTGTTCCTTCATCTTTATTTCTGGGTAAGTGTGTGTGTGTGTGTGCAGAGTGATATCAATCAAAATGCTTGGACTCTGTGGAAAAGCTACAAGTTACTGACTAGCAGCCAAACCGGAATGAAGGACAAAACCCAAACTGGGGGCCTAATCGTAATTTACAGAATAGCAGAGTTGGAAGGGACCTTGGAGGTCTTCTAGTCCAACCCCTCCGCTCAAGCAGGAAACCCTATATCATTTCAGACAGATGTCTGTCCAGTCTTTTCTTAAAAACCTCCAGTGATGAAGCACCCACCACTTCTGAAGGCAACGCCCTTCCACTGGTTAACTGTCCTCACAGTTAAGAAGTTAATTCTTTAATTTCCAGGTTGCTTCTCTCCTACCCACAGAAACAAAGTTGAAAGAACAAACAGCCTCCCTGGCGTGAAGGATCTCAAACTCATAACAAGATAAGTTAGTTGATGGACAGCCCTGTCTGAATTGGCAGCCCCCTGTTTCTTCTGAATGTTCAGTAGAAGCAACCCCTTTTTTGCTGGGCTGATGCAAAATTGGGAATAGTGCAGCATCCTGTCTCTTAGTAGAAAGACAGGAGCGTTGCAATTTTCAGCAAAGCCACCCAGTTTGTGCTCCGTTGTTTTGCATGAAGTGTTTGATCCCAAAAGGACTACGTACCTTTGAGACCCTCACCTCATTGTGGAAGGCGTGAAGGCCTGAACCATCTGCCGTTGTAATAAGCCGCTCTTTTCCTGCTGTCTAGTTTGCACCATGGGCAATGTCTTGGCTGCCAGCTCTCCGGCACCCCCTCCGACAGTGCCAGGCTCAGGCCTAGTATCGGTGCCACCGGGTTTCTCCATGCCTCCTGTCACCGGACTGGTCCCCCCCGTGCAAGATCGCAGCGCAGAAGAAAAATGCGACCAGCTTCCTAACCCTGGCACTTTTGAGGAATGTCACCGTAAATGCAAAGGTAAGTCGCATTTCTGTGTCGTGCGGTGCGACCGCTGCATCCACATC